GCACCTTGGCACTGGTGATAGGGATGGTTCCAGAGAGCTGGTCCTCATCACCAAGCTGCTGAACCACCACTGCAGTCTTTGGCATGTATTGGCCATGGCTAACTGGTGCCTTTCCAAAAATGTCTCTGCTCCAAGTAGCAACAACAGTTTTGAACAAATACCTTGAAAAACTTGCAGCTGAAATTGAGGAGTTGTTTTCTACCCCAGCACTCAGAGCACCAGCCTGCAGGAAGAGAGTCTGCACCTCTCTCTGAAGTTGCCACTTGTTTTGCCATGACAGAGAAGAGCTTTTTTTACACACTACTGTAGCTGTAAGACAACTACAACCTTCTCTCCACATATTCCTGCCCCACTCCTATCCCGGGATACAAAGGCTGTTGCTCCTAATCAATAAGCTGGTTTCCAGATATCACTTATGCACTCTTGGAGGTGCATGGACCCAGAAGGTGAGTAATGAGAGCATGTCAGGGTGGACAGAAAGGACAGAGGGTCTCCAGAGCAGGTAGGAAGAGGAGGGAAGTGATGTGCATGCATAAGCAGAACTGGTAATTTTGGGAGCATACATCATCAAGAGCAGTTCACAGAGGAGTAGATGGGCTCAGAGCACAAGGAGTTTGGACTATGCCAGGGCGAGGGAACTGCTGTCTGTGAGCCCTCTGAAACTGGAGATCTGAATATTTGCTGCTGTTTCCACAGCTGCACACGTGGCTGTGCTGGAGTCACACCACGAGAGGGAGACGGACACCAGAGCAGACTGTGCTCCAGGGCTCACCCAGCACATCCCACTGCCCCACATGGGAATGACAAACTGCAGCTTCCTCTAGACAATCTTCACCGGCCAAAATGCAAGCATAGAAGCATCCCACAACAGCTCAGCTGTTGGGTATCTCTGTATAAACCCAAAACTATTGGCCTCAGCAAACAAGTCCAAGATTGTGACAGACCCTGTGGTGCTCTGTGCTGAAACAGATTTTTCCACTCTTCACTCACTCGTAAAAACAAGATGATGAAAAGCAAAGTGGCCACAGATGTTGATGTGGGCTGACTTGCTCCTCCAGGAACCCTGCCTGTGGGACAGATCAGGCCACAGCTGGCCAGAGGAACTGTGTCCTCAGCCAGGACATGGGCTCTCTCTCACCATATGGCTCTCTGCCACTCCTGCCATACTTCCACTACCACTGCCAGCTCTCCACACACCTCCAGAGGAACCCCAGACTGGCAGCAGTTCTGGAAGTGAAACATTAGGTTTGGTCACAGTCAGCCCAAGTGAGCTGTAAAAGTCCCTTACCTCACTGTAGCAAATTTGGAGCATCATCTCATTTTGACACTCTGTCAAATAGCATCCTCACAGACAAGTTAAGGAAATATGGGCTAAATGAATTTGAAGCAAGTTGGATTGAGAATTGGCTGAATGGTTGGGCTCAAAGCGTTATAATCAGTGGCACAAATTAGACTCCAGTCATTAGTGGTGTAAGCCAGGCATAATAAGTTTAACTTGTTAATTAATGACCAGAATGTTGAAGAAGGGCACACCCTCAGCAAATCTGGGGAAGGCACAAAGCTGGGAGTAATGTTGGGTATACCAGAGGGTTGTGTTGGCATCCAGAGGGTCCTCAGCAGACTGGAAAAAATGACCTGGCAAGAACCCCTTGAAGTTCCATAAAGAAGTGCAGAGTCCTGCATCTGTGAGGAACAATTCCATCCATGCATGCTGGTGGCTCTCCAGCTGGAAAGCAGCGTGTCAGAAGAGGCCTGCAGGGTCCTGGAGGTCACCAAGGTGACCACAATGCAGCAAGAAAGCCAATATCTCTGTGGCTGCACTAGGAGGAACATTGTCAGCATTTCCAGGGAGGGGATCCCTCCCTTTCTCCCTCTAACACTGGTCACGTATCACATTTCCACACCCCAGTCTAGCAAAAGCAGACCAGGACTTGGGGTTTAGTGACCTGCAAAGCTCCATACATGGATTTACACCATTTTAAATCACTCGTTGGAGTCCAAGATCTGAAGCAGCACCCTGAGCAGACCTATTCCCACTGGTAAAACCTGAGTCAAGGAGCACAGCCAAAAACAGCAGTAAAAGCCAATCTGCTACCAAGTGCTTTTAATTCACCTTTTCAAGGCCTCTGAGGCTTGAGAGAGGAATGAGGCCAACGTGTGTGAAGCTGAATTAGGGCCATTAGAATCCTTCCTGGCGCAGCTGACCAGTTCAAGCTTTGTACCCAGCCTTGTACCCAGCAGGCAGACTCCTGCCTAGCAAGCTAAACCAGCCAGGGATCATTCAGCATTTTTCTGGTGCTGCATCTGGTTCAGATCCAATGACCAACGCCTGTTCTGACCATGTCAAGCACTGGGCTTGGTCCAAGGGATGTCCTCAGGGATACCTTCCCAGAGAGCACAGCAGAAGGAACATCAAGCATCCTTGCCAGCGGAGAGCTGATGATGTAAGTGACAGATTTAGAGCTCTTAAATCACACAGAGCTTGGCTGTCAGACACCAACACCAGCTGCCCTGTCCTCAGCAACAAGTGCTCTTCACACACACCTAAAATCAAGAGGCAGCTCTCTGGGCCCCTGTGTTAACTGAATGTTCAATTTGCACACCTTTACCTGGTCCACCAGGGCTGGTGTTCCACTCCTAGGCAGGTGATACATGACAGCCACATGACAAACAGGTGGCACACCACAATCCTTCTGCCTAGGAACGGCCATTGCAGATTCAGTCTTCCCCCCTGAACACCAAGGGATGCCTACATCCTTGAGTGGCCAGCACTGGAAGTTAGTGATGGGCACCAGAACTGGCTCAGAGTTACACCTGGGAGGTTTTCTATCATTCCTACCTTTCTACATCAACGCTACACAGAGGGAATCTCAGTCCTCAGGCAGCCAGGAGGGCTTTGCCTAGGGCACACAGCTGCCGGCAGGCATTTCTGCATCCTCCCCTGCAATAGCTGGCTGCACCTGGGATCCAGTGATTCTGTCACACGGCACTGGAGGGCTTCCCTGCCCTGCTCTGCCTCCAGCCCAGAGCAGGCTGCTGCCAGGGACCTCATTCCCACACGGGCATCAGCAGACTGTGATCCTGTTACTTATTAACCAGCCCTGATAATCTAAACAATGCTCCACTCCAAGATATCCATCACCGACCTGCCAGCCACTGCCTTGTTTGTGTGTCACCCCAACCTGTCAAATACCTCATTAAGGCACCAGAATCAGACAGAGCAGTCCTGAACCTGGCTCCTTTGTGCAAGGACATGTGGTGACAGGGCAGTGGCTTCATGCTGACAGAGAGCAGTCGAGATTAGATACTTGGGAGAGGTTGTTCCCTGTGCGGGTGGGGAGAACCTGGCACAGCCCCTGCTTGTGGCTGCCCCATCCCTGGAAGTGTTCCAGGCTGGGTTGGGCAGGGCTTGGAGCAATCTGGGATAGTGGAAGGTGTCCCTGCTCAAAGCAGGGGGTGGAATGGGACGGGCTTTAAAGCCTCTTCCAGCCCAGCCCATCCTGGGATTCCGTGACCCTGACATTATCTCAGTTAGTCAGAGCATGGTGCTAATATCACCGAGGTTGTGAGTTTATCCCCTGTATGGGCCATTCAGTAGGGGTTGGACTCGTTGATTCTTGTGGGTCCCTTCCAACTCAGAATATTCGATGAGTCTGTGATTCCCTGGACGAAAGAAATACCCAGGAGTGAGCCCTGCCTGCCCCCTGTGCTGCACCCCTTTGAGGGAGAGCTGAAAAGATGTTGATTGAAATAACTTGAAGCCAGACCTAGGCATCCCTGAAATATGAGAGGTGTGAAGCTTAAAACTCAGTCTGAACAGAATCCCTGTGAGGCTCTCCCATCCAAATCACCCAGTGCATTTCCCTCCTTTGGACATGCAAGGATTCGTTTCATCAGTCAGAAAGCAAAGGCAGCCCAGTGAGAAACTAATGGTAAAAGGAAAATATGTTAACTGCACTACAGTGAAGCAGCTTCCCCTGCAAAATTTCACGTTCTACTGGGTGCAAAGGCGTGGGATAGCAGTGTCTGGCTCACCCACAAGGGCTGCTGCCTATTTGATCAGAGGAAGACTAGCTCTTGCAGCAGTGCTAAGCTGACAGCTTATATCAGGTGCCGACCTCTTAGGGGAGACAAAAAACCCAGTGTGCTGTTAAAAACATCTCCATCAAAAGAGATGCACCCCGGGAATGAGAGCAGTGAGAATTGCATCCCTCCAGCTCATGTGCATGCTGAGGCTGTTTCCACAGGGCTGGGGGAAGCAAAGTCATAAAGCTAGATGGGCTCTGGTTCAACAATAAACCATTCTCTCCAGCACCCAGCTCAATTTGCAAGGTTGATTCTCTCAGCCATCACTGTGAAAGAGTCCTAAAGTGAATTCTACTATGGCTTAAAGTAGCTTAAAAGGGTCCCTTAAGTTCATCATCTTCTTCTCTGCCCTTCCTCCTGCATTGCTATTCAAGACTTCCCTCTCCAGCCTCTTCTCTGTCATTTGCAGCACTTTCACAGCCTTATAAACCTCTCAAATACACTTCTGGTATTTCAGATTTCTCCAGTGAGGTGGGAAGGATAGGGTGGGAGTTTTTGTTGGTTTTTGGGTTTTTTTAAGAAAAAGAAAGAAAAATACCCCTTGAATTTCTCAAATAATTGAAAAAAAAAAAACAATTAAACAATTTAAGGTCACCAGGTCTACCACTGCATTTCATTAACAGAACAGTGCTTCTGAAGGCTACCCAGAAACAGTACAACTTGACAGGCTGCTGAACACAAAATGCTGTGTTGCACATTGCCAGGTCAGAATTTTGATAGGGAAGAATGCTAAGTTGTATTGGACAAGGAGGATAATGCTGCAGAGGTCAAGCTCAGGTACACTGAGAGTCCATTTTAAAATCTTCTGGTTTTTTAAGTGGTAGAAAAGGAGAAAGGACAAAATTAAGGGTTAGTTAATTAAAAAAAGAAAAAGAAAAAATAAAAATAAAAAGTAAAAATAAAATCATTAAAAAAAAAAAACAGCAAGAAAGAGGACATTTGGACAGATTATTGGCAAGAGACCCAGGATAGAGCAAGAGGAAAGGTGGAGAATTCAACAGGGAACCTTCTTAACATTCACTTGGAGCTCACCAAGTGGGAGGAGAAACAAATCAGTAATATCAGGACAGGAGCCATGCTAGCCTATATAAGCCGGTGGGACATTTTCTTTTTCCCCACTTTCTGGCCTAACCAGCAAACCTACAGCTACTCCTGAGCTCATCTGAGAGGTAAGAACACTCTGTTCTTTCCTTTTAATGCACCCTGCTACTGACTTATCTGGTCTTTCCTCTCCCTCAAAATACCCGGCAGAGCATTTGAGCATTCCTGCTGAAGGAGAGCAGCTGAGGCTCAGAAGGAGCACGAGAATATCAGTTATCAAGAAGTTTCTAGCAGGGTGAGGATTTATTAGTGCTGCTTAGCCCAGGTGGCTGAACCTTGGAGGAAAAGAGAAAAGAAATAAATAACATTTAAAAAAAGAAATAACTAGAACTCTTTAACATTTCCTTTTACTGCCTTTCCATTCTGCCAAATGAAAATGTCCAGATAGTAATAATGCACAATTGATGTGATAGTGTCTCTGTATTTCTCTGTCCCTGAGAGACAGGTCTCCAAAATCTGAATTACATGTGAGCTTAAAAATATTTGAACTTGAGGGGTGAGCTTTCTTTTGAACTAATACTTTGAAATGTACTTTCTATGGGAGAACCTGAACTATTTTCTTCCAGTCAGGGTCAAGTGCATTGTGCCCTATTTCGAGGATTGTGCTTGTGCTTGTGTGTGTTCCTATGCCTAACACAATATTAATCCAGCTTTACTACACCCCTGCTAACATTACACGGGCTGTGTTGGAATTAGAGCTGCTGAGAGTCTGGCCCTTTCCTCCTATTGTGCTTGGATGCAGGAATTCCTCTAAAAACAGGCTGCACACAGCGCTTGGCTGCCCGCAGACTTCACAGCAACAATTCAGAGAATGCAAGGTACAATGGCTGCAATTGTGCAGTAGCAGGTCCTCGGGTCCTTGCACAAACAAATACCTCGCCATAAATTAAACCCTCAGAGAAATTTTGGCAGGGAGAGAGGAAAATTCCAGAAAGAAGAGAAAGCAGTAGATAACTTTGCTGCACTTTCACAGGTAGAAGCCCCACGTCCAGCTTTGGAAGCGCCCATTACCCAGGAGTACAAACCAGCCAAACTAAAAACTCTGTCCCTGTCCCACTGCAAGCACAACACTGCTCTTACCATGCACAGCACAAAACCAACGTGTGGCCAGGCTTGTCTCCTCCTCAGCAGGTGGATGAAGGAGTATTTGCAGGGCCAGATGCTGCAGGAGTGCAGCCCCAGCTTTAGCAAGGCATGACTGAGATGCCGTGGGCATGGCGTGACAGGGAGGAAGTGTACACAAGTGGAAGGAAAATTGATTTAGGGACACATGGGGTTGCATAACGTCAGTACTTTGCTACAGGGCATTTATTAACTCTGAAAGGATGATTAAAAAAAACACGGTAGATTAACATCTCAGCCCTGTGATGATTTCATCTTCATAAAAGAGAAACATCTTTTATGTTTTCTGTTTTGTTTCGTGAGAAGCTCTCACATGAAAATGGTTTTGAACAGTTTCTCTGCACTTACAGCACCCTACAAATCCCTTGCACTTGCTCCACTGAGATGAAAAGTGCATTCAGACTGGCTCTGCCTGGGTTCTGCTGCTGCTCCTGCATCTCAGCAGTTACACACCAGTACTGGGAGCCTGCACTGCAGGGCTGGGACACCTCTCAGAGTTTATGTGAGATGAGGCAGTGTGCTCCAAGCTGTCTTGGGACTTAGTCTTTAAAAAAAAAATTTTCCCCAGACTAAGCAAGAATTTAAAAAAACCAAAAATTGCCAAACCTGCCCCCTGCAGAAGCCAAGCAGTCTGTTCCAGCAGAACACTCCTTTTGCAATTCTTTCCTTCCTTTGTGCACTAAGAAAAAAGAACACTTTCAGTGAAAACTATTTGTTTGCATGCTTCAACTGCAGGTCTTCAATAGAACTGCTGCAGACCTGCAGTTGAAGCACACATGAAATCCCCATCAGAACATGTACACTTCAGTCTGCATTATTATTCAGACATCTCTGTGTTAAAATTCTCTGAGCATATCCACAATTCTGAGATAAGACACCTTTTGTATTCTCTCCTTTCTTAAATACCTGCTATCATCTACTCCCTGAGGCAACATCATGTGTTAACAAATCATTAATCTATGCATATATATGTTAGGGACTGCTTTGTAAAATCATTAAAAATGCCTAAAAAATTTTTATGCTGGTGCCAGTTTCCAAGTGTTTCACTACCTCTTTATGGTCTTATTGGACAACTAAGTAGAAGTTGTACAAGTCCTTCATACTTTGTGTTTCTGAGCAGATGGGACAAGCCTCAGGGCTCTGGTGACAACAAAACCCCCTCACATAGGATGCAGCCCCCACACAGTGCCTGGGGTGGGATTCAGGGAGGTCATGAAACCAGTGGGGCTGGATCTGGGTCTTTGCTGTGTCATGAAGACCCCATCCAGAACCAAAGGTTTTCTTGGCCCATGCTCATTTCCCACCTGGCTGCTCTGCAGGTGAGGAGGTTGTTCAACAATGGTTTTGTTCTCCTTTAGCATAAATAATCACAGAATTGTTTGGGATGGAAGGGATCTTTAAAGCTCATCCAGTCCCACCCCCTGCCATGGGCAGGGACACCTTCCACTATCCCAGATTGCTCCAAACCCCATCTAGCCTTGGGCACTGCCAGGGATGGTTCAACCATCGCTGCTCTGGGCAATCTCTGATATCCTGACATGGAACAATTTCTTCCTAATGTCTAATCTAACCCTGCCCTCTCTCAGTCTGAAGCCACTGCCCCTTGTCCTGTCACTTACTACATGCTCTACTGAGCAGATGAAGTCCCTGTGGTTCCTCTCTGGAGACCCATCCCAAGACCAAATGGGACTGCCTGAGGTGTTGGAATAGATGAGCTTTAAAGGTCCCTCCCAGCACAGAGTATTCTATGATTCTATGACATAACAAACACGAGTTTGGGCAGCACTGCTGGAGGGAAGGTAACCAGGATCACCCTGCAGTCTCTGTGACCCTGAATACTCCACTGTGCTGGGTACTCACTGAGTGTCAAGTTCAAGACAGGTTAGTACAAGTGATTCACCAGGTCACTGAGTCTTTTTGCCCTGCCAGCTGCAGTGAGCTGGCTTCATTTCTGCCCATGGAAACCCAGAGCAGAGAGCTCACACTTGCCTTTATATGGCAAAGCAATGCAACAATTTTTGGGTGAATTCCTCTTCTTCATCCACTTTTATCTCCACTCTATGAGTGGACCGGACAGTGACTCCTGTATTTCAGATGCATGTTACAACCCGTTCTGCAGACTCCTGAGTGCAACCTCACTCAGCACACAGGGGAGCACCTAGGGCATGCCAAGGATCTCACAGCACCTCTCTGCACTGCAGCAGCACATCATTTCACGGGTTAGCAACAGGGAAAGCCCAAGCTGCATGAAGAGAGAGATCCTGTAAAAGCAAAATATAAATGCACTTTCACCAAATGGAGAGCATTTATCTTGGCTGGAAATTTTTACTTAGCTGAAAGTACATTCAACTCACTTATTCCAGAATAAAGTATGAAAAAAGTGAATTTAAGGGATTAAGGTAATGAATTATAACAAACCCAAAAAAAGCCTTCCTCTATCAAGACACCACCCCCAGAACCACTCTTCCCTCCTTTTCTTTTCTTCCCTAGCCTTTTTATTCCAGGTCCTTACCTTCATGTCCTACACAAAGCCAAACTCAATATTTTTCTGTATATACTGGTCCTATAATCAGCTTCTCATATGGGACCTATGCTTTTATTAGCTGGGCTCTTCCAGAAGGTAGAAAATGTCCATTTCTTATTTGTGCAAGTATTTGCTGCTTCCTGAAAGGTCACCACCAGCCCTCCAGTACCATAAAAGTGAGAACCTGGCCAGGATTAACCAATGGTGCAATAACCAGGCATTTCCCTACAGAGACTCAGAGGTACTTAACCACACTGGAGGGTCTGGAAGTGCAATGCCCAGGGGTGAAGGAGCTTCAGTACTCAGCACCTATCTTTCTGAACTATGAGTTCTCTCCCCCAGCTGCCCACTAGGCTTTTAATAAAGTTTTGAGTGAGTAAAAGACTAACACAAGACCTATGTGTCTGTATCATCGTATTTAGACTATCAACTCTTAATCTAAATTCATTATGTCTTGCACAGGCTGGTACTCACCAGTGTGACCTGAAGAACCTCTGGTTTTGTATTCATACAACACACTTTGTCTGGTGTTTGTTTGATAATTACTAAGAATTAGTTCAGGAAACAGAGTGTGCTCCAGGAGCAGGGATTTTTATTTATTTGCTGACTTCATATTCAGAATTGGCTCTTAGACAGACAGTGAATTGGCAATAGGCATTGTTTTTTACTGTTAGGTGTAAGCCTCTAAACCACATGCCTGAATAATGCTGTCTAGGCTGGATGAGGTGCCAAAGATTATTCCAGCAGCTCCCTGTGCAAAGGGTGGGTGTCCCAAAGGGGACCCCATCTCCCAGTCCTGCACCCCAAACACCTTATTTAGGCCAAAACACCTTTGCTGGGCCTATAACAGTCCCCTACCTTATTTAAACTTTTTATAGCACCTGCTAAATTTAATAAGTGTATTTTCATTAGTCTCTGAGGGTTTCTTCCTACAGCTTCCAGCATGCAGTCCCAAGTATTGCCTCAGCAGAGAAGAAAGCAACATGGCTGAGGCAGAGTGAAAAGCAAGTGAATTTGGTCATCAAACTCTAGAGTCAATGCTGGGTGCTTCTAAAGATTGGTCAGCTTAAAGTGCAGTTCAAATGAGAAAAAGCAGTATATGAATGCATGTGAGTGATGGAATAATGCACTATGGACAACCCCAGGCTAAGCCTGTGCTCATGGGAAAGGTTGAACTGATCTCAATAGGTGAATTATGAAACTTAATTTAGGGGCCTATTATTGATGGCTGATGGATGAATTCAAACTGGAAATGGGTTAAGCAGCAGAGAAGCTTAATAAATGAAACATCTTGTAACTGCATGGAAGCCTGGGAGGAAAGAGCATGTGAAGAGGGAATGTGCTCATGAGACAAAAGAATCAGGTGTTCAGAGTAAGGATTTTCCTCTTTCTGGTTCCAAAGTAACATGTGGTGAGCAGTTATGTGGTAAAGAGAATAAATGGGGATCAGAAAGAGACATTGTAATGAACTCTGGTTTTTTTCCTTTTCTCTTGAATTTTACCAAAGATTCAGAACACCAACATGGAAAACTGTGTTGATGTCAAAATAGACACCAAGGGAGAAAGAATGCCAATGAAGCAGAATCCACTGAGCACGGGTGGGAAGAGTTTCTGCAGAGCTGTGGGTTACCTCACTGGAGACATGAAGGATTTTGGAACCTGGCTGAAAGGTAACCTACTTCATCATGACTAATGACAGCGGATTCCAAATAAAAAGTACATCAAAGGGGTAATAACTAACTTCTCAGTGATGTGATTCAAGTTAGAGTAGTATAGAAAATACCTCTACCCTGATTTATGTCCGTTTTGTAGGGGGAAAAAAATCAGCTTTGTGCAGAGATCCACGTACTGCTTAAATCTTGGGGATGTCTGAGATGACATTTACCTCCCAGCATGCCATGTACAAAGTGAATTTAGTCCCTCAGAACACAGTCCTGGATGGTTTTTCTGTACTCTGCCATTCTTCTTAGCACTCCATGTCCTTTCAGCTGAGCAGTTTCTGTCAAGCCTAATGCCACTGTGAAGTTAAATTACACATAGTTAGGTGTGTTTGGTCCCTGTAATAAATCAGCAGTGGGATGCACACATGATTTGCCATCTGAGCCACAGACATCATAAATTAGCTGGTTCATATGAATCTGGTCCAGGGTACTTTATAACACAGGGTTCTGGCAACCTCACTGTTCATCTCAGTTTTCCAGCTGTAAGACTTCACTGTGGACCATAATAAATCCCTGTCAGGCTTTACAGTCCTGTTGATTCATTGCTTCAGTCGTGGTGCCAAGTCCCACTGCCAAAACTTTTCCTGAGTTTCAAAAATACCTCCCAAATCAGTACCATCTGCAGACTTTAGGGGGCTTGTTTTATTGCTGAATTTAATCTTTTCCAGACAAACCTCTCCCGATCCAGCTGCTTGACTGGGTGCTGCGTGGGATATCCCAGGTGATGTTTGTCAACAATCCCCTCAGTGGGCTGGTCATTCTGACTGGCCTCCTGCTGCACAACCCCTGGTGGACACTCACTGGATGTGTGGGAACACTTGTCTCAACTTTAACAGCACTTATTCTGGGTCAGGACAGGTAAGTCCATCCTTTTCCCCATTTCAGCCATTTCAGTGCTGATTTATGTCTTGGATGTTTGATGTGGATGAGAAGCCTGGATTTAGTGTGGGGTGTCCCTGCCCTGCATAGGGTTGGAACAAGGTCGTCTTTAAGGTTCTTTCCAACCCAAACCTTCTATGATTGTGTGATCCAGCCTTGATCTGGTCTGGTAGGAGCAGACAGATCCTCCCAGCAGCTGCACTTGGTGCAGAGGGACACTGGAAAATAAAAATCTAATATGGGTGGGTGAGTTCCGGCAGGTCATCCCTAAAAAGGGGGCCACAGCTGGCTGGGGAGGGAGGGCTGATGTGAGCAAAGCATCCTGAGGAAGGAAAGAAGACTTCAAGACAGCTGTTCCCTCCACACAGATCAGCCATAGCAGCAGGCCTGTACGGCTACAACGGGGTCTTGGTGGGACTGCTGATGGCTGTGTTCTCTGCTGATGGAGACTACAACTGGTGGCTCCTCCTGCCAGTGGCACTGGTGTCCATGACCTGGTAAGTCAGAGGGCTCCTCTGCTTCTCCTTCCAGCCCCAGAGTCCCCACAAGTGAGACTGAGCTGCTGCGTTTCTATGCAGACAGCAGAGGAACACACATGTACTGTTAAATCTGCATTGTTATTTACGCTTCTAAGCTCAGATGTAATCCAGAAACAAATAAAAATACCCACATAAATAATCACAAATAATCCCAGTGGGGAAAACAAAAATCAGTAGCTGATCACGTGTAATTCAATATTCTGAATGTGAGTCATATTGCTGTGATGCATCAATTCATTTCTGTTTCAAGAGGAACATTATTTTCACCATTTCCTACCATCATCAACCACAAGTGTTTCATCCATTTAAGTCACCATATAAAAATGTCATGAAAATTTACTCCTCCAAGCACAGAAGCTGTTCAGTGGTCCCAAGACATGATGGTTGACACTAATCAAAACAAACAACTAATAATATTTTACTCGTATATATGGCACCATAATCCGCTAGGTATTTGGCCAGCAAAAAATTTTGAAACCTGGTCTTTGACCCCAAAATGTCTAGTTGCTAAAACCACGCATGTAATTTGTCTGCCTGAAGTTCGTGTGGTGTTACAGTCACTTTGATGTCAGCTTTTACTGCTGATCCACAAGCTTGAACGAGGGCACACAGCCATATTCACAATTCACAGCTCGCTCAGACCCAGGGTATCATAGACTCAGTCCACTTCAGGTGCTAAAAAGGTAAAGTAAACACTGAGCTGGGGAATAACTCCATTAAAGCACTGCATCCTGTCTCCTTCTTGCTCACCGAATTCACCATACATATTAACATAACATGACAGGAGGCTGTGCATTGATAATTGCCTTTGGAGGGGTAGGAAATTTATGGAGTGACCTTTTCTTGTCTCTGATTTGATCAGAAAGATTGGGGAAATGAAACAGATAGAAGGAGGAGTGGGGTTGGGGTTTTTTTGTTTGTTTTAGTTTTTTTGTTTATTTTAAATAGACCAAATTTTCTGCAACTGGGTTTATGGTTGGATGTCGTCCTGGTGTGAATTTTGCCTAACTGACAAGCTTCTAGTGAGACCATTTTTTTTCTTCTTTCAGCCCTATTTTCACTAGTGCTTTAAGCACAGTTTTCTCTAAGTGGGACCTGCCTGTTCTCACCTTGCCTTTCAACTTGGCCTTGACCCTCTATCTGGCTGCTTCAGGACCACACAACCTCTTCTTCCCTACAACTGTCATTAATCCTGCCACAGCAACACCGAACATCACCTGGGCAGATGCTGAAATCACAATGGTAGGGTGTCTTAAGGTTAAAACTCTCATTCATTTACAATTAAAAACACTACAGAAATATATTATCTTCCTTTATCAATTCCTATGCTTTGGGTTTGATGGGACCTTAAATGACCATCCAGTCCCTGCCATGGGCAGGGACACCTTCCACTGTCCCAGGCTGCTCCAAGCCCTGTCCAGCCTGGCCTTGGACACTGCCAGGGATCCAGGGACAGCCACAGCTGCTCTGGGCACCCTGTGCCAGGGCCTGCCCACCCTCCCAGCCAGCAATTCCTTCCCAAGATCCCATCCAGCCCTGCCCTCTGGCACTGGAAGCCATTGCCTGTGTGCTGTCCCTGCCTGCCTTGTCCCCAGTCCCTCTGCAGCTCTCCTGGAGCCCCTTCAGGCCCTGGCAGGGGCTCTGAGCTCTCCCTGGAGCCTTCTCTTGTGCAGGTGAGCAGCCCCAGCTGTGCCAGGCTGGTTCCAGAGCAGAGGGGCTCCAGCCCTGCAGCATCTCCGTGGCCTCCTCTGGGCTGGCTCCAGCAGCTCCAGGTCCTTTGTTACTCCATTATGGCCTGGCAGTACAAAATGTGATTTATAGGAGAACAATTATCCAAAATATAAGGGTTTACTCTAGGAATGTACATGTTTGACAGCTTGAAAATAAGAATCTTTTCATGTGCATTTGGATCCAAGTGTATAGATTATAATCTTCAAACACTCTCTTGAATCTAATTATCCATTTCCATTTCTATGCATATACTGATCATCTCCCCAAAGCTAAAGTGGTGCTGAGAATTCCAGTTAACTCACAGGGTAATTTTAATTTTTCAGATACAGTCTGTTTATAAAATTACATCTTTCTGATTAGACATGAGCAAGCAGATATTACTGTAGTAGAATGGGTAAAAACTTGAGTGCAGGTACACATTCACGTATTTTTAATTTATATTCAAGTGGGACCTTTCCAAATGAACATTTTATTCTCCTGGATTACACCATAAACAATACAGATACCGGAGTAACTATCTTCTGTTCAGTTCAGCAGATTATTTTAAGGGGTTCCCAGGGAGTGATTAAGAAAAGGAAGTTAATTGACACTAAATAGAAACCCACAAGTGACATTTCTCAAAGAATATTTACCATGGCACATAGTTTTATGGGGATTGTATATGGAAAAGTGCCTCAAAACCATCTCTAAGCCGTGACTAAGCTGGGCTTTGTCCCACCAGCCCAGCAACTCTTGTCATATTTCTAGTGAATCCCAAGGGAACCATCCCCTAGGTTCACTCTCATGGTCCCTATGGATATGTAAAACTGGTCAAGTCAGCAGCACATGCAAAGAGGATGATTAAACCCTTTCACAAAATCTTTAGTTTTGATCTTAGAGCAAAAACCTGGCAGAGGAGCTGGGGCCAGGGAGCAAGCCATGACTCATTTCCATTGAAGAGGAAACCCTGTGGAAATGCCCTGCTGTCTCCCAAATGTTCCACTTAGAAAGAAAGACTGCATCCAACAAATGCCAAACATGAGACTGGCCAGGAAAAATTGATTTAAAAAAAAAAAAAAAAAAAAAACCTTTACAAAGCTGATAACAAATTGTCTTGTTTGGTTTGGT